TATATAAACACATACGTACAACACACAAATATACGTAGAAGCACACACAATACACGCACACGTCTTCTCTATAACAAAGCTGTGTAGCCACACGCACACTCGTCACACTACTTGTATCAATTGCCTGTAAGCATTGGATCGTCTTACAACAATGCCCGCAGAGGCGACAGCAGGAATGAACTCTCATTGCAGGTACTTACACAAAAAGCACTCTCATATTCAAAGTCACCAAATTTTTTATTTCACTGATTTTCCTAAAACTTGTATTACTGTCAGATGCAAAAATCAGATTGGACAAATTTGGACATTTTTACTTACACTTATTTTATTTTTTTCTACATACTAAGTTTATCTACAATCTATGATATTTCCATATAAATAATTATATTTTAGCTTATTTGTGGCACAGTGCAGCGGCGGGCCGTAGTTTGGTGAGCACTGCTCTAGACTTTTTGATTAAAGCAGTGCTGTATATGAAAGTTCTTTTTTTTTCATTTCCATTAATACCCCTTCACTCTAGTTTCTTAGTTGCCACTAGTTGTCCTTGTAATCATTTTGAGATAGGATTGTTGCATATTATAAAAGTTAACAAAGTTTACTTTACTTAGAAATGTTTCACATTTTTCCAAATTTTTGTATGGAAATATTTCAGTTCTTCTGTAGTTTGCTTCAGTTTATGAGTACTTTGTTTATAATTGTTCTTGTTTATTTTGTAATTCTTCTTGTAAAACAAAATGTGTTGGTAAATATATCCTTTCAGTTGTTAGTTTTCTCTGATGAAATAAAAACATGGAACTTCTTGATAATGTTATTGGTATTTGTAAGACTAATTAATAAATGCGGATGTAATTCTATAAATTGCAACTGGAACCGTGTAAGTATTCTGATCAGATATGAATTAAACCAGTTTTTGGTACACAATGAAACAGTCTTATCTTTATCTTTCAGGTGGTAAAACTGCTGTTAAAGGTATATGTACCAATGGTAAAACTGTTGTTAAGGGTATATATTTGCTATTATATCTAGTGAGATTTCCCAGTAAAGAATGTTAAATAAGAGTAATATGAATAACTTAAGTATACAAACTATTGTATATGTCACCTGCTATACACGTGCTATATATTTTTAATATCATAATATTAAGTAATTCTAATTTGATTAATGATAATTAGATATATCTAAGGTCATGGTTCCACATCGTATTTTAGGCACAGTGATAAATACGTAAGGTTGATGAAAACAAGGTTTGAACTGATATACTATTAATAGGTTATAGAGAATACTGGTCTGTTAATCTTTCTTATCATCTTCGAACACCTACCGTGTCTTGAATGTACTCGATACGTGGTACGTAAAACTTGCTTTATTGTTTTGTGACGTTGTTTTGATGTAGCCAGGCTAATCTGGGCAACCATACGATTGCTGTTTATACTTAACTGTTGTAACTTCACTAAAGTCTCGGGTAAAAGATAACTCAGACAAAGAAGATTATATTGCATTAAGCCTTATTTGGACTCAATATGCCTTTCTCTGATCAAGGCTTCAGCACCCGAGCCGGAACAGTTGCGCCATTAAACCCGGTTATTAATAGGTATTGGTGTGTGATAACACGTACCTGAATAATGGTTTATGTAATCTTTTATGTTGCATGTTTTTGTTTGTTTCGTTGTAGTAATTTTTGATGTTGCAACTATATATATATACAATTCATTGTAAATAAAAACAAACGTTATTAGAACAGTTGGATTATTATTATTATTGAAAGCGAAGTTCCTTGTAAAAATATTGTGTAATAGGTGGGCAACACAGAATAATTTGTGATGTTACAGTTCACTACTTTCTGTAGTCCTTTGTGAGGCATGAATTTTAAATAACCCTGTGCATTCTGATGTTATTTGGAACAGTAAAAATAATTAAAAGTGATATGTCTATAATATAAGTCAAATTGTTAATAATTCACAGCATCAGTGTTTATCCAGTAACTAACACTGGATGAATGTCAGAACCATAAGTGATATAAATATGCAGTCACCCAATTTCGTATAAGTTTGGGCAATAACTAGTTTAATTAAACACGTGTACACCTTATCTGATCATGTCAGTGGAATTACTACCCTGGTTTTAAAATGTATATTTTAGATTATATGATTTTAAACATAAAATCGCATGATACAGAGATAAACAAGCAATGTTAAATTAATCGACATACTTATTTAAGGGACAATGAAAGAGCGAGTTTTCTTTAGATTACATATTCATACACATATTCATATTGGCAATTGGAAACTTGAAAATCCTCGTTTCTTTTTGTTTTCCTGCTAGAAGTGGCTTAACCATCAACACTTCTTTTTCAAGTTAATCTTTGATAAGTAATCCTAAAGTTGTGTATAAGTCCAATGTAAGTCCTCTAGAAAAGCAGTTTGAAATGTTAGGCTTAGGTTTGAATTTTACAGTAACGCCGAAAAAATTTACCTAGAAAAAAGTCACTGGTGTTGAAACTAAACTAGAACAAATGAAATATTGTAAAATCAATAATATGATTAGGTATGAATGTCAAGATGTGATTATGTCACAAAGAAATTGAAATTAACAGTAACTTAAGTAAGAAAAAGAGCTCTCCAGTCCTTAAAAACGACAAATATATTGTTATTACCCACGCTTATGATGGAGTTTGTATTGTGATATAAAACAAACTGAACTTCATAACTTGCTGAAGTTGCATGTTCTTAATTTCGTCAACCGAATACCTTATCCTATTTATTATTACTCCATATGTACAAATACCTCTTAGTAATGTACTTCGTCAATATGTTCTGCAGAAATTCGCAAACTAGAGTAGAAACAATGGGTCTAAAACTATTATTTAACTTGTTTCATTTAAGCGTAAAACGTGGTAGATTGTAGTCGAAATTACTGTTTAAGTTAGCTGGTAAAGTGAGACATTATTAATATTGTTCTTTAACTAATTAATAAAATTTGATCGTTGGATCTTTCTTGAGAGGAATATATGAGCCGCTTTTTAAAAATTTTCCACATTTACTTATATATTATTTGACGTGGTCTTTTTGTTCATTAAAGTCCCAGTAGAATAAAAACGATTAATTACTTTCAAGAAAAGTTAATTAAAGCTTCAGTATCACCAATAGAAGTGACACGACATCAAATTAACACGGTCGTGTGTTGAAAGCTAGTTCAAAGTTAATGATGAATCCTGGGATTGGTTATAGGTTCCCACTTTTTTTGTGACCTATATGTAAACAAATTTGAATGCACTGCATTTGACAGTGCTAACTTAAACCTATTTGATGTATATGTGTGAATTGCGTCTTTAATATGGCGACACTGTGAGGCTGAGTTTAAAACTTTGATTACTTAAATAATCGTGATTTGTCTAAGTTAATTCAATTTACATATGAAAAAGAGCAAACTAAATGTCTTCCTTTTGTAGATGTCCTTGTAGAAAGAAAAATTAATCGAAACCTTTCTAAAACAACACAGAAAACCATACTTGACACCCCACCCCAACGAACTTTTAAAATATGCTATAAAGAAATGGACTTCCCCATCATATTTCTGGCAGTTATTTTGATTGAAACTTAATTATTTCAGGAGAAATAACTAATAATCAAGGGTACTCGAAGATATCCTCCTTCATCCTGCTCGAGGCTAGAGGTTAAAGTTCAATGAGTGGTCAGCGTTTTAATGAGCCATATGGGCAAATAAGTGAACAATTAATAATAAATAAATAATAATAATAAATAATTATATATATATATATGTATACAGATGATGATGAGCCAAGTGGGCGGAAGTGAAGGCAAGTCCAAGGCGTAGCAGAGGCCGGTTGATCTTGCAGAATGAGCAAGTCGGCAGCCATTGTTGACAATTTATCGAAACAAACTGAAGCAAACTAACCTTTACAGGGCCTGGCGGGGATCAGTGGATCCAAGTGCCATGGCTGGGATCTATAGATCCAA